ATCCTATGAGCCAATTATTACTATTTTGTTTAATGGTTAATTTTGATATTATTTCAGCTACGATTCATGACTTTTGCATTAATAAGATCATTTTTGCATGGATTTAGTGTTGCATGGGAAGCTTTTATACTCTAGAATGTATATGAGAATCCATTAAAACACTTAGCATGTGAGAAGATGAATTAAGGATATTAAAAAATCTATAAAAAAAAAAAAAAAAATCTTATGCATTTTATAAGCATCAACAATAAATATTTGGTAACATAACTTCATGCCAAGTAGTTTATATGTGTGACTAAGATATTTAGTTATAAATGCTGTGTTCTTTATAGGCATTTTTAGGAGTGATAATTGCCCACTTGAAGGACTATTTTAAATACTTGTATCACCAGAAATTATTTTGGGACCATGAAATTAAAAATAGATCTTAATAACTGTCCTTTGTTGTGAAATATTGTCATCATTAAGTGCCTTGAATGTAATCTCTTATGTATATTGTACTGTAATGCTTTTTTTTCTTTGCTACTTCAATAAACAATTTATATGAACCATGCTATGATTTAATATGATCCTATAATCTAGGATTTTAATCAAAACAAGATCTTATCTAGTAGTTTCTGATATGGAAAAACAATCTATGCTTTTGGTATCAATACATATGTATACATGTGTTTTTAATAAAATTTAAAAGCTCAATTTTCTCTGAGAAAATTATCTTCCAGTAAACGATAATGCACATATAGCAGATACTACAGTTAACCAAAATGCCACTTTTGTTTTCCCAACCAAAGAACAACTTCTCCCAGATTTTACCCAAAATGGCACTTTTCTCTCACATCTATTTCTTTTTTCATATTCTTGATTTTCACAAGATGGGTATATTTCTTTGCATAATTAGAACAAAAATGCCACTTTGCATGCTTTGATTGTACCAAAAGGTTACTTTTCTCCCTGCTTTTACTGAAAGGAAACATTATTTTATATTTTTATTACAAGGACAATTTTGTTTCCTAAGATTTTGTTAAAGGAACACTTCTCTTTCTTTGATTTTGACCAGTGAGGTACTTTGCGTGATTTTTAATAAGAAAGTCGCTATCCCCCCCCCCTTTGTTTTTTTACTAAAATGGGATTATTCCCTGATTTGACTAAAAGAAGTTTGTCTTTTCATGACTTTAACTTTAAGCTTAATTGCATTTCCCATAATTTTACAAAAAAAATTACCCAATGATTTTATCTAAAAGTTTTTTTTTGTCCATTATTTTGACTCATGGATGCAATCTGGTAAGGGTCGCCCTAGAAGTGTGCAATCACTGAAGGTATTAAGTGGCAGACTGTCCCAGAAACATTGGCTGTCCAATTCTCAATAGAGGTAATTGGGTAACTTTTTTACAGTATAGACGCACTTGCCAGAAACTGTTCTCAACTCCACGTCAAAAATTTATTGATCAATCTAAATTGCTGTGACTGGTCGTGTCCATTGTGCATTGCCCGAGGGTAGGGTTAATGGGCTCTGCCACCCAACACAATCCTGGAGACAGTCTTCACCTCATATGCACGGCATTAGAGCTGAAACTCGGAAGCACCAAGAGGACTTTGACTGAGAGCGGTGCTTTCCGCCATCTTTTTTACCCGTTATTTGTGGCATTACCGTTCGTGTCTGCAGATTATTTCTTGTACAGATTACTGCAACTTTTTGTCCTTTGCAAGGATATCATAATCAATTTGTCCTAACTTAATGTGTCCATACTGTAAAGATTACAATTATAATTTTAATGCTGTATTACTGGCATTTTCTTGTTTATGCTATTTGCAATGCATGCTAACCATGAGTAAGGCTTGTGCCCTCAGTTGGATACAGAATGTTTCTAATAGGGGAAGGGCTGAGAGTGAAAAAAGAAGTCTTGGGGGAGCGGCAGCTTTCCCAAGTTTATATCACAACATTACATTGTTTGCAAATCTTTTCGCATATTTCTTATGTTGTGACTGTATTGAAGGGCGCTATTTATTACACTGATGGGGTATCGTTACTCTTATCTGAGGCCACCATTGTGGACTTACCTTCGCATTTCATTTGTGGCGGGTTTAATCGTTTAGAAAATTAGCTGAGAATTTGGCAAAATAATGAAACATCTCAATCATTTTGACGAGCAACTTAAATAAAAAAACTGAGTCCAGAAATATTTTTACTGGAACACGAATCTTCGTGTAGTAGGGTAAAAAGGTTTAAAGTCTTCCTGGCTTGTTTGACATTACGGATTATTTCTTTCAACATTGTCTTTTGTCTGGCCATATTTCTTCCCTCAAATATTGTAATATAATGCATTTTCAATTGTGTCTGGTTTTGTTGGTGCTTATCTTCGGTTTATCTTAATAGTGTCCTTTTATTTCATGAAGATAGCTTGATATCACTACAATGTCGTCGATAGGTCTGAGATGGTTCATACCATTGATACCGATTCCAAAATACAAGAGCTCTGCATGACGTCCAGGCAGATATTTG